GAGTTCACAAGCACCAACTGACAGGTTTTGGTCCAAAACATGAAATTCACAGAATGTCAGCATGTAAGACAAGCAGAAGTTTGATGAAATAAGGCTTTAAAGCAATGGCAGACTTCAGTAGAAGTCCTTACTTGGGCAGACTGTGGCTGCTTGAAAGTGCCACTTGCAGGAGGTTAGCTGGTCATTTGCTGCCAGTTCTGCTGCATTTAAAAATCCAGCCAAGTCTGCGCCCTCTGCTGTCACTATCCAGTGGTTTTGTCCTACATAATGCTCCAAATATTCAGTTTTTTAGTTTTTCTGTATACATATGAGTCTTTAATTGCATTGTCTACAGAGAAGTCTAACAGGGATTATCTAACAGGAAATGTTTTAGTCAGAAATACAGCATCTTTGTAAGCCTGACTGAAAAACAGAACTGAAATCCGCGGACCAAAGAAGATTGAAAATACAAATTTTGTTTTATGTCTTAGTGCTGCTCCATTTCTGCAAGATCTTTTCTGGACACCTACCTGTGTGACCTATTGCAGGGTATCTGCTTTAGCGGGGAGTTGGACTTGATAATCTCTTGAGATCCCTTCCAACCCCTGCAATTCTAATCTTCTGTGATTCTGTTCACACAGACAGCAGCAGGCAGATGCAAGGCCAGTCACCTCAGTGTGTGCATCGATGTGGGAGTCTGCTCCTGAGTTTTAGAGAGAGACCAGGAATTTGTTTTGCCTTTGTTTGTTAAATTTTGAAAACTAGGAAATTAGAAGAATAGCCAGCATCATTGAAACCTAACTAGCTGTTTGCCTGATCAACCAGCTTGGACTCCAGCGTTATTCTGATGCACCAGTGTGCTTAGAGTTGTTTATCTATTTGGCAGTTACCTATGGTTGTTTAAATGCTGCAAAGAATGCAGCATTGAGAGGGGCAGCTCTCAATAACTGAAACAAGAAGTTAAATAGTTTTATGTCTGGTACTCAAGACACTTTTTTTAGAAGCAATCCACGGGTCAGTAAAAAGTACCATCACAGTTTGTGATATTTTCCATCCTGTTTATACTCACTAGGCAATGCATTAATAAAAAAAATACGGCTCTGTGATGAGACAAAAGAAGATCTCAGCCTGTAAAAAGTAGAAATTCATACTGCTGTCTTGGAGGCAGCATTCCTTGTGCTTGGAGCAGTGGAAAAGTGTGATCCATTTGCTATCAGAATGGTAAAGTGTCTGAAAGGGTGGAAACACACTTGATGTGTGCTAAAAGTGCTACCAGATGGAAACATCTGCAATCAAATTCAAATCAAATCAAATGAATTGGACTGCAGACAACCCGGTACACAGCAGGGGGTTGGAAATGGATGGATTTTAAGGTCCCTTCCAACTCAAACTGTTCAGTGATTCTCTGATTTCTCTGCTGGAAGCTAGGAATTCCTCTGCTTTTGGTCTGCTGAAAAGGAGATACATACATATGTATGGCACATAAATGGCAAGATTGGCTTAATACAATATCTTACAAAGATACTCTGGTAAAAGCACAAAACCTGTAAGGCTATCAACATAATTCTTGCTTGCAGGAATCAAAAAGTCAAAATCTAGAAGACTTAGCTTTGCTTTTTCCTCATGCAGCACCCTCAGCAACCTGCAAAGCCACTAAAGAGACACGGACCTATTGGAGTGCACCCAGAGAAGGATCACAAAAGTGGTCCAAGGGATGGAACACCTCCCCTATGAAGACAGGTTGAGAGAGTTGGGATGTTCAGTCTGGAGAAGAGAAGACTGTGAGAAGAGATGAGAGCGGTCTTTCAACATCTAAAGGGGAGCTGTAAGAAGGACTCTTTATCAGTGTCTGTTGTGACAGGGCAAGGGGAAATAGTTTCAAACTAAAAGAGAGGAGGTTTAAGTCGGATGTAAGGAAAAAGCTTTTTACAGTAAGTGTGGTGAGGCACTGGCACAGGTTGCCCAGAGAGACGGTGGATGCCCCATCCATGGAGACACCCAAGGTCAGGCTGGAGGGGCTCTGAGCACCTCATCTAGCTGTGAGTGTCCCTGCTCATTGCAGGGGAGTTGGACCAGATGTCCCTTGCAACTCAAAAGATTCTATGATTCTAAATCCACACTTACTCTGGAGAAGACATGGAACTGCAGCTGTAAAACTGATCGCTATCCAGAGCAGTCAGCACAGAGCTGTTCTTCTGCTAACACAATGTAGCTGCTCTAAATTGGCAAAGGCACTTTCTGGAACCGGTTTGGAAATAACTTCAAAATGAAAGGTGTTGCTTCTGCAGCTGCACTGTGAAGCATGAAGATGAAAAAAAAAAAAAAGAAAAGAAAAGAAAAAAGAAAAGAAAAAAAAAAAAAAGAAAAGAAAAGAAAAGAAAAGAAAAGAAAAGAAAAGAAAAGAAAAGAAAAGAGAAAAGAAAAGAAAAAAGAAACGAAAAAAAAAAAAGTGTATTCGGAGAAAATAAAAGATAAACTAAGAACGAGTGGAGTAGGCCGAGGACTGCGTGCACGGCGAATGCTGTGTGAAAAGCTGCGTGTTGGTGCCACCTGGTGGACCCAGAGCCGCCCCGCGCCGGAGGGGCGCAGCTCTTCCAGCCGGGATTTTCACGCTCCTGACATCACACCGTGTGTCCAAACCTGCATAGACAGGAGGGAGGGGATGCAGCGCAGAGGCTGAGGATGGGAGGACAGTGATGGAGGGTGAGAGATGCACACGGAGTTGCCTTTTCTGGCATCAGTGTGCCTCACCTGGCTACAAGTGCCCATCCCAGTCCTGCTTATGTCTCTGCATGTAACCATGGATTTCTTCCATGGACTTACATGACAGACTAGTGCAAATACTGAAAACACCAGCAATCTGATTTCATTGAATCATAGAATCATTAAGGTTAGAAAGACCTCTAAAATCACCCAGTCCAACCACCAGCCCATCCCCACCATGCCCACTGCCCACATCCCTCAGTGCCACATCCACACGGTTCTGGAGCACCTCCAGGGATGGTGACTCCACCACCTCCCTGGGCAGCCTGTGCCACTGCAGCACCGCTATTTCTGGGGATAATTTTTTTTCTAATATCCAACTTGAACTGCCCATCACACAACTTAAGGCCATTACCTCTCATCCTATCACTGTTACCTAGGAGTAGAGGCCTCTTTCCATGTTGCCATAATCTCCTTTCATGCTGTTGTAGAGGGCAGTAAGTTCTCTGCTGAGCCTCCTCCAACATTCAGTGTTGTGTCTTGTGATATGACTATGACATTATCACTTGGCCATTTCAGCCCTTAATTTTAATGGATGCTGCATCATCCCCTGGCAGATTAAGGCACCAGCATCTATGAATATTAGGTCATGGTTGAACGACCTTTAAGGTCTTTTCCAACCTGAGCAATTATATGATTCTATGATTCTAAGAAAAAATGCCGTTACTGCACATCTCAGAAATAGATATAGTCATGGTTTAAAGTTTTCAAGAAATAAAGGATCCACCACATCCCTTGGTTCATTGTTTTTGTGGTTAAGAACTCCACTAAAAATGGATTCACTTTGCTTCAGACTTCGGTAGGTCTAAGCCTACATTTCAAGTATTTGGTCATCTTATGTTTTTCCTTTGAATTAACCTGTTTTTACTGGCTTAAGGAATTGCTAAGAGTCAATAATCTTTTCTGTATATAAGCTCAGTGTTAGTGTCCTTCAAAATATCCATACGTATAGCCACAAAATGACAGTAGGAACTTCTGAAATCTACTTGATTCTGGGGAGGAACCTGCCTTTTCTTCAAATGAATCTTTTTCTAAAACTGTCAGTCCGCAATTTTCCCATGCCTGAAATCTCTCAGTTTCATGCACAGTATCCTTTAGCTTCCCTTCCTACAGTATCCACAAGCTATTTAGTTTCTATCTATTCCCACATATGTCTTCAAACACAAGTTGAAAAAAGTGAACACTGACATTTCCTTGTTTTTTTTTATTCCCCTTCTAGGCTTCTGGGCTCATACTCTTCTCTTTCCTTAGCTTTACTTAACTGCAAGTTCCCTCCTTTCCTCTTCACAAATACAATGATCCTTTCATTTTTCCCCTGCCTGAACTTCCCTCAGGTTCTTCATCCTGTGCTTTTTTTCGGTGTTGTACTGTTCTCCCAACTGCAGCTATAACTTCTTACGTGGTTACCATTTTATACAAAGCAAATGGTAATGGTTATATATTAATTTTGAAGTAAAAAGTAATGGAATAAAAAAAAAAAGTATTTATTTCCTTAACAAGTAGATGAGAGAAGTGAATCTAAACACACTGACAAAATAAGCATTTTACACAAGGTAGATTCTTATTGCAGTGTATGTTACCAGCCTTCTAAATAACACAAAGTCAGAATGCAATTGGTGACAGATGTTTAGTAAATTAACATGCAGTTTCTCATCAAATTTATGTACATCCTGATATTCAAAATGTTGTATTTAGGTAGGTGCTCACACAGTGAGAGCATCCTGACTTAAAGATCACAGTCCTTTGTAAAAATCCCACTATATTCAGTGCTACAGCGGAATCCAGACTCAGTTACATACAACTAGAGGTATCTTGTGTCTATTTTATAGAAAAGTTTACACATGGAAAACTATACTCAAAATATAGTTATAAGTTATGATCTGCTTATTTTGTTGTTTAATATACCTCGTATTTCTAAGGGTACACATTTTTCATCTTAACCAAAGTATTAACACAAAATCTTAAATTTTGCTGGAGTGGAGTATGCTGCATTGTGTCTATTACATGAAATGATTTCCCTGTAGATGTAAGCAGGAGTTAGAGCAAGTGGTAACTATTAAAGTCAGTGAATTTCATGAAACATATCAAGCCACCATGTATACCTCTTCACAGATATCAATTTTCTTTTTATTTCTACCTGAACCTGCAGTCACTTGAAGCAATATGCAGAAAATAAGGTTGAATGCAGTCAAGTGGAAGTATTTTAGCACAACAACCAAACTGTATGATGACAAATGAATAGAAGTATCAGAAAACTGACAAATGAATAGAAGTATCAGAAAGAGTGTACTTAATGGTATCATCCTGGTGTAAGGGGATAGTACTCAGTTTTTTTATCTAAATTTTCTCTTCTTCTCCATGTAGAGAAGATAAAATTACTGTCTCTCAACAAGAGTACCATGCAGAAAAAAATCTGGAGAAGCAATACTGTATTTCTATATATAAAGTTATAACTCCAAAGGTCGTTGTAAATAACAAAGCTGGGTTCATCAGCTGAGTGTAGAACTGGTGGATAAAAGTATGACTCCTCATACTAGTGGGGGCAAACTGTAAATATCTTCATAAAAAGCATAATCCTTTGCTAACTCTGTCACGGTATGGTCTCTTTCTCAAATAATCCCCTGCCAACAGTGAAATGCACACCTGGTGATCCTAATACCATGTGTCAGGATCTGTGCTAAAATATGTTAATATAAGTGATTAAGGATTAACAACTTGGCCAACAGGTGCACCTTCATGTGGACTCTATAGTTCAGCCAGGGATTCACTCAGAAATCATCCCTTAATAAAGAGCATTGATGAAAAAACAGACAGTAGCTTAGCACAGTTGCCAAAACTCTTCCCTTTCTAATTCACATGCATCCAATTGTGAGCTATGGTACAACAGTATCTGCATTCTGATTGGAAAGTTCGGGATATGCACAGAACTTCCGATGAAATGAATGAGCATTATCAGGAAGGGATCTTTGATCCAGACTGCAGACAAAAGTTTTGATCCCTATCTTGGATATACTAGCTCGAATTTGATGTACTTCCTTTGATTAATGCCAAGATAACAGAATCTGCCCTACAGCTGCTGTTTTTCTTCGATATTCAATGACTATTTTTTGGTAACTTCAAAAGGAACAAAGTAGGTTAAGATCATTTTGTTAAGCCCTCTTCATGTATTTGCATGATATAATATAGGAAAAGCTATGTACAGAGAAGAGTTCCTGTGCTGGAAAGTGTTATGAGCTGTTTATGTGATGTCTAGCTGTTAGCATGCTGTAATGCATAACCATTGTTATACATGTAACTGTTGTAATTGGTCCAGTCATCTGCACATTGATATTCTTGATTAGGCTGAATGTATGGATGATAAACAGTTTCTTTTCCCAAGAAGTATGATGGAGCAAGTCTTTGTAAAACAACAGCGCTGAATTGGTATGTCAGCTTCCTTCGAATTTTAATAATTTCACCTGTTCTTCCATAATTCCTCAGTGCTCTGGCCATTTTCTGATATGTCATGATCTTGCGGTTTCCCTTTCTTTCTCCCCACAGCTCTGCAAGTTTCTCCTTGTTTTTGGAGACAAATTGGAAGACACCATTGGGCTTATCCACCCATTGGATGCAGTTTGCCATTGCTGGATCATACAGAGACTCGTGGAGGTACTCAAACAGACGAAGTTTTTTTCTACCTATTAAGAAATAAAGTACAAAAGGTCAGAACAGAACTCATGCTTATTTTAAAAGGTAAGCAGTTGTCTTATCCCTGGAAAAGATCTTAAAGGAAAAAGCAGAGGTAAACCTAGTAACCCGTCAAAAAGTCTTCAAACAAACATTTTGCAGGAAATCATGTCCTCAGGCAGCGCTGGCAAGAAGTTCTGAAGGTCCAAGCTGAATGCTTTTTAATAAATACTTTCTCTTATTAATTAGAACTCAAAGATTTTGAGATTAATCAATTTTGACAGGTTTGTTTCAGGACTGTTTTGAGGAAGCAAGGTAGGCTCTGATATAAGAAGGAGTGAGCAAGAAGGAAAAGCAAGTTTTGCAGTGTAAGTTTCACCTAGTCAATAAAGAGCCTTAACCTTCTTGCACACTGTATATTTCTAAAAGCATGCAGAAATTTAAACTTGCCTTCCAATGCAAAATAAAGGAAGAAATATTTGTCAGTTAAGAAAATTCTCCTTCCCACAGGTCCAGCTCTCAAACTTAAGTTTACTAGTAAGGTTTATTTAGTTTCACATAAGTCTTGTGGGTCCCTGTCTTTGAAGCACTCCTAGTTCCTTTCGCTGGGCTAAGGGTGACCAAGAAGCTGCCATAAGGAGGAAGAATTGAAGATTACAAGACAAAGAGGAACATTTTGCAGAAAGGAGAGTATATGCAGAAGAACGGCTTCCACTTCAACAAAAGTGGAAACAAGCAGCTGCATCTAAATTTCATAGTCTTGTCTTGCATGGCTATTTTAAACTAAAGGTTGGGGAAAAGTGACAGTTGCTAAGGAACAGTGAGGTTGAGCCAAGACATCTGTTAGGGATGACAGTAACTCTGCTTCTGGTGATAAGGAAATAGGAGAGAAGTGGCCAGACTAGGAAGAAGAAGATCCTGAAAACAGAGGTACTTTCCAAAAAAAACCTTTAAAGTTTCAGGATCTAAATAAAAATTGGCCTGTAGTTGGAAGTACATTTTTTTACTATACATACATATAATATTGCCAAAATGAATAGCTTAAAAGCAAACAAATGAAGAAGACTGCCTGGCCACGGCAGGCCTGAATCATAGTGGGTGACATCCTTAGATCCCCTCCAACCAGAGTTATCCTAAATCCTATGAACCTACATTAGAATGAATAAAATAAGGGGGACATCTGGATGTTTTTTCTGTTCATCAGAGCCTCTAGCTGCTGCAGAGTCTGCGGAAAATAACTATGTGACGCTGTATGTAGCAGCATCTCAGAGTTCATACTGTCTGTCCTCAGTTGTCATTTCTGTCCAAGCTTTTATTTCTAGACACACACACACATGTACTTCTTTCTCCAGCTGATGTCTTAGTTTGAGAGTACATAAGGGTTCGTGTGTGTGACTGAAAATATGTTTCTATGCCCCAGCTATTATCCCCAAAGCCATACACCATGTGGACACATCAATTTGAGCTGGGATTAGTGCATGGATCTTTGCATTGCATAAGTCATCAGTGGTCACTACCTGTCCTCAAACTGTTGCACAGAATCAGTCCAAGCCAGCAGGCTAGTTTATGTAGGTTCTTACGTGGTCACTGGAGAGAAAGAGCTCCTCCAGAAGATGTTTCAGAGTAACTGAATTAAGTTTCTGCACTGAATTGGCCCAAAGCAGCTTAATTCTCTCTGAATGTGTCTTTTGAATTTCTCTCTAGATTGTCTTCACCTACCATGCTTTAATTCATAACAAGGAATGGTCTTGAAATGCACGAACTGGACTTGATTCAGAAGCAACCAGATTCAAAGATGCTTTCCAGAAGCATGTTTAAGTCACAGTAAATTTCTTGTGGACATCCCTGACATAGCCCTAATAATCACTGTGAAGCACATGGAACATGGACTTTAGATCCTCAGTGCTGGTTGTTTCATCTACAGATCCATTCCTAAAGGGCCACACTACTTGCTTTTGTAGTGCTTTTGTAGATAACCTCTCATGCATCAGTAGGGGCTCAAGAGGACTGAAATTGCAGAGGTACATAGTAAATAGATTGATAATAATGTAAAAGAAACATGAAATAGGAAATAAAGCTTAACAGAGCAGTAACAACAGTGACTTCAGCTAATGACATATAAAATTCCCTGGAACAACACTGGATAAAACTTAGAAGAGCAACATTTCTGGATTGGCATGTTTGTGTTTGTGCCAGTGAATGTCAAGATTCAGGAGTCCTGAACTTAAAAGAAGAGATTATTCTTCTCATCGTCCCGAGGAACTTGTAGTAGCTGAGCTACTAAGCAACAGAAACCACAGTACCCACCATCAGTGGGAAGGGATGATACCAAAATCTGACAGCATGTGGTTAAAGTTAAGAGAAGGGGATTTCAAAAAGCAAGAAAACTAGGAAGCTGCTCAAAAGGACCCTACAGTCAAAAGTAGGTATGATAGCTCAGAGTGGAAGCTGTGGAAATCTCATCCAGTAGAGTCATAGAAAGGATGCTGAGTCCCATCTGAAAAACAGAATGAATGCAACAACTGAAGTACAGTGATAATCACTGGCACCTGACCTGTTCTCTACAAGAGAGATGTCCACTCAAGTAGAGTAAGTCAAAAAGAGCATAAAAACAGCTATCAAATTGTGCTCCTTTTCTTGTCTCAAAAGCTAAGAAGAAATTTGAATATTAAACAGAGAAAGGTATAAAATCAAATTCAAACATATTAACATCTGGGGAAAACCTTTGAGAAAGCCATTACTTGCTGGATCACATGAAATAAATGAGTTATTAAAGTGATTAAAGATATTGCTGTACTTCTATGCATTAGACTTCAACTGAGATGATTTGAAGTGAAAACGCATCCCTTGTTCATTTTTCCATGTAATAAGCAAGAGGAGAGAATGAGAAGTGAGGAGATTTATCTTAAAATATAAGGTTTAGCAGACAGGAACTGAACATTTGCAGTTGTATTCTAGTTGTCGTTAAATATTTTTTTTCCTATCAAAAGTAAAACAAACAAAAAAACTAGAACATAGAATGCATGATTCATCAAGGGAATTTTAAATTAACACAATGCACTTATCAAGAGATATTTTTTCTACACACCTTTCCCTGCTTTTGGCTGGACAGCAGCAGCATGCATCACTTGGCTTTCTGGAGTATTCTGCAGCGTATGGTAGACAGAATCATCTGCATAAAAATCTGCTGCACTGTTCTTCAAGAAGTAAGACAATGAAGAGTTAGCAACTTAAAGATTAATCACCTGAAGCCTTAAAAATACACCTTTTCATCCCCTGACCCCTGGAAGATTTTTTCACAGGCACAAAGGCATGCAGTATACTCTATCATTAATAAGTTACGCCAGCATGTTGAATGGGAATGATGGACCAACAAAGGAGAAATTAAGAGGAAAATCAGAGTAATTGCCTCACTCTGCATCTTCAACCATTCTGCCGGAAGCAGAAGAGGAATTGTGGACATTTTTTTCAGAGTCAATAGAAGACAAGGGCCACCTGGACTGTGTCTCAGGAGAGACTTTGTCAATCCTATGTTAGATTCTCACTAATCTGCTGGTTGAAAATGGGCTTTTGTGAAATTCATTTATTTGAAATTATCTCCTCTGCACCACCTATTTCCCACCACTCCTGCAGGCCACACTTCCAGAATGAAGATGGGCACTGCAGGCTAAAGTTTGTTTGTTAGTTGTCATTTTACATAATGAACCACAGAATAGCACCAAATAGTTAAACTGATTCCTGAAGAAAGGCTAATAAATATGTTTTGCAGATACACTCCAATGTGGTTTCACCTGAATTATACCTGTCCAGACAGAGTCTATAATAGAGGTAGCATAATTATTTCTGCTAGAAGTCACAAATAGTCAGCCAATTTTCAGCTTACGTACATAGCAATTAGCTCACTTACTATCACAGTTCTCCAGCTGTATCCTGGGTCCTCTGTAGAGGGTACTGCAGAGTAGCTGGGACTTGCTCGGAGGTGGGGATGATGGTTGATCACAGTCAGGCAATTTTTATAACCTGAGAATTTGGAGCAAAAACTGAGTAAAAGAAGAGAGAAGGAGGGAAAAACAAACAAACAAACGAAAAACTACTGCAGCAAACAACCTAAGATGCTACTGGGTCTGTCAAAATGCAATTATCCTATTGTTGCCATCTAGGTAATAAATTCCCTATAGCCAGGATGTTTCTTGCCATAATGGTACTGCTAACCACGCCTCTAGGCTTACCTTCATGATTTAAAGCAATGTTTTTAAGATAAAATGTCAGTTATTTTATAGTATTGTGAGATAGTTTGCTTAATATGGAGAGCCAAACTGATCACCAAACGTAGGGAATGGGATAATTACTGAAGATTATTTTACATATTTTGAACAGGAGAAGAGAATGCCAGAGAATGTGATTCTTCAGCAAGTCATTAGTACAATGCAAGTGAGAGCATAGAGACATGAATGAAGTGAAGGACAGAAACTGGTAAGTATGATTCTGGGCAATACTGTTTTATTTATCTAAAAGTATTACTCTTTCAAATCAACTACGGGAAAAAGGAATTTCTCAGAGCATCTGCAGTCCCTGAAAGAAAACTCAGAAGAGAAGAGAAGAGGTCTTCAGGATGTTTAAAAGAAGCAGAAGAGGACACTGGACTGAGGCACTGGAAGTGGAGCAATGTGTGTGAGCAACAAGACGTAAATGCACACTGAGCTGCAAGTGTTTAAATGTCTCTCTGTTGGCCCTGACAATGGATACAGACATTGGGAGCATTTATATATACTTCAGTGTGCAAATTACCACTGAAGTGGAGGCAAAAACTTATTAACAACGGCTGAAGATACGAGCCAATTGGTCTTATTTACATTTCAATATATCACAGATAAACGCGCAAATAAACTTTCTGGCATGAAATACATCCCTCACAAAGGACAGTAAATATGTTCTTCTGGATGTAGAGGATCTGCAATGTAGCTTCTTACTTTCCTTTCCTTCCATTTCTATGCATGATATAAAAACACCATATACAGATGTATTTTAAATTTCATAGCATTTTAATTGCAAATGTCTTCCCTGGACTGGAGGAATATGCAGCTTACCTATATTTTAAGTTTTGTAGTGCATAAATCTTAATCTAGAAGCCAGGAAAATTGCTTTTCTGCTGATAACCTAGACTCCGTCTAAAAATATTTAAAATTTGTACCTTAATGTAAAAAAGCAATTATGGAAACAAAATTCATATGTTGAATTCTTTGCCTTCTTTTAGTCTTTGCACTGGAATTCATTCCTATATGAATTTATTTATAGCATAACATAAGGGCATTTTTCAATTGAAACATTAAAACTGGAATATGCCTGTTACACTTTGGTCTTACATGTTTTGTTTCGAGCTCGGTACACCTTAAATAGTACTGGATGGAAGGGAAAGAGGGGCTGTCCAGTAAATTCCCTGTGATGTGGCTTGGAAGATGCAAACCACCCTGGGCAGTGTCAGGTACAAAAACCCTCCAACCCTTCTTGTCCATTTTGATTGTAGAATGGCTTGGGTTGGAAGGGACCTCAACGATCATCTAGTTCCAAACTCAATGCCACAGGCATCGTACTCCTCAGCTGTCCATTAATCCACCTCTAGGAAGTTACTGTCCCAGCCATATATTTTGAGATACGCTTTTCTGTAAGAATATAAAGCTGTTAAGTAAAATAAAGCAATGCCCCCCCTTTACCTTGTGAGTACTGCATTTCTCTGTCGGAGTGTTGCTGCAGTACTTCTAGTGCATCTTCAAAAGCCTGACCCAGTATATCTTGATCAGGAAAACTCTGCAAGAACATATTTCCATCAAAAGGCAGAAAAGACCAGGTGTTCTTCAATATCATCAGTAAGAAGATCCCAAATAAATAGAGCGATTACATAGAATATGCAGGTATCATACCATCCTCCTGGAATACGTATTTTGCAGAAAATTAAGTATTACCAGGATCTCTACTATTATGAGAAAGTTCTCACTCCCATGAGAAGTCTCTTTGAGGTCAGTGGGAAAACTCTCACGGGTAACATTACTCACTCTGGCAAATGTTTCAAGGTTCATTTCCTTCATTTGCAGCAGAAGTTTACATAAAGGGTGTTACCATTATTGCAGTGTTTTATAGCATTTATTGCAGAGGTATATATCACTTGTTTACCATGATTTATGAAGCCAATATTATCATTCAATATCATCGACATGACAGAAAACTTGCAAATCTGGAATTGCTTATGCAGAGAGAATGTTATATTATATCACTCTAGGAAACAAAACGATTTTGAAATGGATTTTCAGTAAACTTTATTGTTATTTTTGAACAACAGAATGCTAGAACTTCAACTAAAGCTAAGAAAATTCCTCCAAAAATCTGTTGGCCTGAGAGTTTTCTGTAGTGTATTTGAAGTTCTAGGTAATGAAAGAATAAAGGCATTCTAGACTTACCATTATTTAGATATCAAAACTTTAATCCTGTTTAAAAAAACAAAAAACAGTGAAGTTGTATATTTCAAAATAAACAATATCTCAGCATAAATAAAATTAAATGAAATGCATATTATTTCTAGTGATGAAATAAAAGATAATACTACTGATAAAAAATTTAAGATTAGAAAGTGGTAATTTGTTTTAATGCAGTTAAATGCATGTAACATTTTTTTTTTTTTACAATTCATACTATCTTTCATTACTGGTGTTCCCAATTTCATTACTACTGTAGCATTTAGATTACCATCGATATCATCATAAACATATTTTTAAAGACTACATGACGTGAAAAGAAGTTACTGCTGACATTCGGTCTTAGCTCAATTACAACTTTCTCAATGAAAATAGTGACTAGAATTAAAAGATAACATTTAAGTCCTTTTGTTCTTCAGTTGTAGTAGAAACAGGGTTGTTTTTTTCCATTATGTATATCAACATCTGACTGTATACGAATATACAAAAACTTCCAGAGTATGTTTGAGTTCCAGAAACAAATGTCATTGTTTAATGAACAGTGAAAATAGACATTTTTCAGGTATTTTAATATAGAGAATTCTTTTACATACAATATTACTCAGAAACTATTCCTTATTACCTCTTCTTGACATTTGTTACAGATTATAATAATTGAAGTTTCTTATAACTTGTAGGTTTTTTTAATCCGCTTCTCATTTCCATTTATATTTCAAAATGGTAAAAATTAACAATAAAAAAAATATTTTTATTTTTATTTTTTATTTTACTCTTTAAAGCTTTGGTTATAGCCTATTGAAAAAAGATGGACATTTTGGTAGTGATTTCATCAGACAACAAAATTGGTCTGTATGATATTTTAAAATGCAAAGGATAGGAAAGATGCTTAAGTGTAAGAGAAAAGTGTTTTCAGCCAAGACTCACGATGGATATTCTAACCTGATAATTATGCCTCAGTCAGAATATACATATCTTAAAGTACAACATTAAATACTGTCAACATTCATAAAAAGCTTTTTAAGATCTTGATGACTATGTATGTCAGAAAGATCTCAGCACGTGGAATGAAATCCTGGTGATTCAGTCAATTGACCTTGCCAGAGCCAATGGGATTTCTCTCTCTAATTTCAGCACAGCAATTATTTCAACAAACTAATTTCACTATAAAGCCAGAACAGACCAAATTAATTCTTTACTTGCAATGGTTACCAGATTCTTGGAGCTGTAGAAATTAAAGATGTGAATCTCATGGGTAAAGACCCTAGTTATCATAATTTTAATTATTTCACTTTCTTTAAAATGCATTTGTCTAACTCAAACTTCAAAGTGACAAGTGGTAACCTTGACAGAACATTTGCAGTTGATGCTTTTCAAAGCCTGAAAGGGTACTGAAAATTATCACTATCAGCAACATACTGTTGAAAGGTCATACCAATTACAAAACTGAATTCAGTTAAAAAAAAAAAAAAAAGAAAGAAAGAAAAAGTTACACCAAAAATAAATTAAAAAAAATAAATCTGAACACTTACCTAGAATTTCAGCTCTACACACAACACAAGAATCTCTGTTTTCATAAATAAATGAAAGACTGAGTTCCCATAGCAATGGGCTGGCAAAGGGGCTGCATTAAATAGCTGGTTTTGGGGAAGTGTTTTGGGAAGGGAATTTTTCTAAGAGTAAAGGTGTAGTACAGTACTAGCATGGCCTTCATTAAGCAGAAAATAAGGGTGATTTAAACAAATAAAACTAAACATTATAACTACTTAATGAAATATGAAGATTCTAGGAATTGGAAGAGATTCCTTTTGGCTGTGAGATGTCCTAACAGATCTGCCATTGGTATGTTATATCTAGGGCAAAATCCTACACCCCTAATCTATCCCAAACAGACTGCAGTGGACCTTCTGGTTTTAGATGAACCTCCTGTTTATCTTAATGTAAAAAGAAGACAAAACCAGACTCCAAAATATGAGCTTTTGGGGAATATCAAAAGTCTGCTTCATAGGTCAGGTTTATTGCCCAGGCCCAGCTCCAAGGCATTTAGTAAAGATCCCATCAAGCTGTAGTTGCTGATTTGATGCACCCTTTCTGAGCATCTCAACTCATGATATTGTGTCCTCTGAGATGAGCACTCTATATTTTTCAGTACAAAACTTCTTACCACTGACATAATCCTGTGCCATTGCTCTGTGCAACCAAGTCTTTCAGAGGCACGCTTCACAAAATATTGTTAAAATATACTGTGACATTTCTGTAAAACAGTAATTACCTCTTACAACATTTATCTGTATTCTCTCAGTCAAGAACTGTCTTAAGAGTCATAACCTACACTTGTCTATAAATGCTGAGTGGAAGTAATTTGAAGCCAATGTTAGTATCAACCATCATTTGCTTGTTTCAGATGAAAGTTGCCTTTTCAAAATTTACACCACAAACTTTCAAAATTTCTTTTTAATGGAGTATATCAATACATGTACGTGTTTTTTTCAAAATACAAGTTCCACTTCGTAGTACTTTTCTGCTATGACATGGGTTTATAAGGAAAAATGAACCATCAACAGCACTGCCAATTCAGTGACTCAGCACTGGATTTCAGTGCAAAATTCAATTACACAATTAATTCCCTCTCCATAAATGGTTAAGTTTATTCTGTAATGTGGAGAGACATTGGTGTTTTGGTTTGGCTCTTTTCTGCAGTACAACTGTATCAGATTTAAAATTATGAATGAGCTTCAAGATCCCTTGTGGGTATCATCCTGATAATTGAGGTATTAATAGGCAATCTGACCTACCTACCCCCACATCTCTATTTGAAGTTGGGCAATTCACGCTAATTCTGGCTACACGGCTACTGGCTGGGGCCAACGCAACTATGATGAGAGTTGAGAAATTAAAGCCATTACATTGCTCAATCAAAATGTTTCATCTAAGTAAGAGGCTACAGTGTAAGGAAGGTCATCAAAAGTTTATTTTCAGCAGAAATGGGAAAGTGTCATACGTAGAACAAGCATATCACACATAAACATGAGCAATCATTATCTCATAGGGTAAAGCAAACTCCTTCTGCATAGTCAAGATAGGCAATGCGTTGGCCTCTACCAAGAAATGCTGTCGCAGAAGAAAGCCTGTTTTGATTTTTGAACTGGATGGGAAGATAGGTTTCAAATAAAAGCCTAAAAAAGATAACTTACTATTGAAATGTTGTCTTGTACAATTGATGTGCCCAACAGCAAAATTTGAATATCAGTAAGAAACCACAGCATCAAGCTTTTTTCCTTCATCCATGTTTTAAAAATAAACTTCCAATGACAGAGTGATTGTTAAAGTTTCAGAACATTCTGTCATTCTTGCTTGGCACTGAAAGCCAGTTCATAATATTGGTATAAGAGAAGCATTTTCACCTTTCTGAATAAAAAGAACTAAATAATGCGTTACAGCACTTGTTGGTGGGCCATAGGAAGCATGAAGACTCTTGCATGAGGCATTGTTTAAATGTAGAATAAAAAACAGTCAAAACCCTCCTATAGAAGCACAAAACTTGAAATTGTAAGCTTTTTTACTAGGCATTTACAGCTTTCTCAGATTTTTTTGAATGTCAGATAGTTGGTAACTGCCAAGGTAAAACAAACTGACTACTTGCAATAGAAGAAGACCCCCTGTTTTTAGAAATGATTCTATAATGGGGAATCACTTGCCCCCTATGTAATAGATCAACTACCAATTCAGCAGTCTTCAAAAGTTAGTTATAAAATGTGGCAGCTGCAGAGAGCTTCCATCCTTGCATACTTGTTCTGGCCTTTGGCAGATCTCTTTGCAAATCTCTTCCAGCTATGCAGCTCTTTGAATGAGCAATGATCTTTGTCATAAATTCCCATGGCTGTCAGTTCACAGTACTAATAAACCATAGATGCTGTCTCCCCGTTAGAGAGAACGTGCCTGTGCTCTCATCCTTAACCTAACTATGTTGACCAGCAAATTTTCAAATTCTGACAGTATGCTTGTTCTGGTCTGCTTCATCCAAGGTCTGAAAGGAGCTGGAAAGTTTCTTGTAGCAAGGATAAAGCTTTTTTCTTTACAGAGAAGAAACAGGAATCAACAGACAGAGAGATCTCTTCTTTTGCAGTGATAATCCAGGCATAAGTATTTCACAGTGAATTGGTATGGAATATAATTTCAAATTAGTCGCCTCAGAAAGTGCTTGAAGTTCTGAGCCCCGGAATACAATGAAACTTCCCCTTAAAAACACAACAAAACTAACAAAATCCAACAACACTGAATACCAAGCCACCAAAAAATAAAAATAAGCATGCTAACTATTGGCCTACGTAACACTGCCTACTGTGATTTTGATCAGATAATTAGTGTAGAATAACAGACAGAAAAAAAACTGAATGCTAACATTAAAATGGAAAACACAATTATGGCATTATGTCACACAAGAAAATGAGATAATGAAACTATATCCGAATGCTACATTTGTGCTGGAGGATTTTGGTCTATGAATTTTGACAAACAAAATGATCCATTCAAATACCAGAAGATAAGAATATACTTGTTTTACCAATTGTGCAACAAATGGCAATGAAAATCTATGCAATGCAAAAAACATACTGTTTTATTGCTATTATAATAGTCAGATTTATAGTATGAGTTCCTTTGCTGGTGGAAATTGGTACAGAGCCACCAAAGCCAAAGGATCACTGATGATTTGCATTAACAGAGATTCTGGCTTGTAGCTGACACTGATCTAATTTTCAGATCAGTAAGGTGGAACTTGCTGTGCCAGCGTTGATGCTTCACATTCTTCCTTGACTTCCTGATTTGAACTGTTTCTTCATCTACCTTATACAACATCACATTTGGATAGACTGACATAGTGGCATTTTCATATTTTAATCCTTTTTAAAAAAACAAAAAACAAAAAAACTTTGTCCAATCATTCTCTCCAATTATGACTTATGTATGCAGTATTTTCTCTTCTTAAGAAAGAAGATATAGAAAACATTTTAAAAATTGAATTTTAAACCTGAAATGATAGATTATCTCAATCAGACTAATTTCCCTACCTTTGAATGCGAACCTTTGCCTATTACATTGAGATTCTGAATTGTGATCTTAATACTGATTTATAATAATTTGCTTGAAAATTTTTTGAAATATTGCTTTAATCCTTTCAGAGTTAATACTTTTTTGGTTCTTATAGGGCTAAAATAAAGATGTATTTCTATTTCTTAAGAAGACATTCTACTTTCAGACTACCTTAGAAATAACTATCATTATCTTAATGTAAATGACAGAAATTGAACCAATGATGTGTTTAAATCTTAATTCTGATTTGGGAATTCATCATTCAGTCTTAAAAGACATTTACTTGGAAAATTTCACATGTGTAACATATTTGGTTTAGATCGATTGAATAATTACAGAACAACAATAAAAAAAATACCAGGCATTTGGATAAATCATTGCAGAGGTTACATCTGAAAATGTAATTACCTCTTTTAGGGCCTAAGAAGAGAAGTTTATTGTGGAGGCTGCATGAGTGGACAGATCAGCTCTTCTGTGGAAAACCCACGTCTAAACCCTCCTCTTAACAACTACACCCAAGATATTGGTCCAGTTGGCCGTGTCAGCAGGCCTTCTCAGGAAGTTTCTTCTTTGGCTCCGCATAACCTAAGGAAGTGAGTTTCTGCTGGGAAGTCCCGTGAAGACAGAAGACCAAAAACCACAACAGAAGCACAAGGAACTAATAACAAATGCAATGAAAAAAAAATTAGTTAAAGAAGATTCTGAAGTGATACATGAAACAATGACATTGATTAATCTACAGTTATGAGTATTTCTGGAATAGATAGAACACCTACAAGCTAATAATCCCGCTGGGGAAAACCATCAGATAAATTAATGATTCAATTCAAGATTAAAAATATCAGAAAATTTTTCAAAAATAGCTGTGGATAATAGATCGTCATCAAGAGATGAACTTGATAAAGGGTAAAAATGGAAAAGCATGTAGAAAGAATAACATAGTCTTTTAATAATCTTAACTTTAATAATTCTTAATGCGGAAGCCAAACGAAAACAACATTTTTTATCTATTTGTGGAAGAATCATGCCTTCAGATTCAAGGGGTATTTAGATCATTTGGGATTAACTCAATACCCTATTTTAACTCCATTCTCTCCAAATCATTAAGATGAGATTTTCTAGGCAAAAGAGACTTTTGGACTCCAGAGTATGGAAGAACATATTTGTGTCTATTTTTGAAAACCTGAAAAAACTGGAGTAAAAAAACTGCTGTCGCATCATCCATATTGCAACTTAAAAACTTCACCTTGAAGCTATTGCCACATTAATAGAAGCAGGTATTATGTATGTCTAGGTGCCTAGACTCCAGAATGCAGGAAGTACGTTACTCTCCCTAAGTTCTCTCTGAAGCTTTTGGAGACAGTTTTGTAGCTCCAACCAGAATCATCAGGCACAGTACCACACAGGAAATAAAAGCACTTCATCTAGCTAGTAAGAAACACTAGAAAAAACATGTCCTTTCTTCTAAAACCCTTCTGGGGGGTACAGCAATGGTATGCTAAATGATTGAAGAAATGCCACGGGCAGTGGTGATGTGAGTTCAGTTTCTTCCTCGGCCTCAGGAGTCCAAATGCACACTTTTCACTGTTGAGGAGACCTACATGGTAAATCTAGGCTACAGCACTTTTTCACCTTCAAGCTGGGACAGCTAAGTTTGAGTCACTGCAAGCCATCGAAAGGACTGTTTCCAAAACTATCTTCTACAGTTGGAGCAAAATCTACTTAAGGCTATTAAATATAGAAGTATCAACAAATTCCTTAAGCCACAAGATGTCTCATGTAGGGACCTTTACAGCTAATCTAATATCTAATCATCTACAGACTTTGGAAAGCAAGTAAAGAGGTGCTGATGAAATTAAATGCTTACAGAGATAGGCAACTTCAAAAGAGCATTTTTAAATTCAGCTGGAGTATAATACAAAATTATTTCACAATAATAATGCATCCAGGTAGAGCCTGGAAACCGATCTGAGTTGGTGATGATTTCAGAACAGGAAAAATTCTCAGAAGATACATATGCCTTCTAAGAAAATCCATAATAGCATGTAATAAAATAGTTTCTGGTTGCAGTGCAAGAATTTGGAACTGGTGGGGTTCATTTTCTAGTTCAAAAATCAGAGTACGTAGGAAATCCAAAATGTGTTCCACAAGCTGTGAGATGGAGGAGGCAGCTGGCATGAGCAAGGCTTAAGAAGAGAGAAAAAGTTGCCCTGCATCAGACCAAAAGTCCGCCTGACTAGTGTCCTGTCTCTGACTGTTTCTCTTACTGGATGCCTAAAGATGAGCGTAAGAGGAAGATCAAGGGGACCTAGTTTCTAGCAATCTGCTACACACAGTCCTCCTTGTGGCTGATGTATTTGGTTTTATGAAGATCTTATTCTCGTTTGGAAATACCAGGATAATCACTGATAGCTGTTATGCATGCCTCAGAGCACGTTGATATTGAAGGACCAGCACCAAATTTTTGGATACAATAATGATAGTTACCTCAAAACAGAGTATTTATAATCAAAGAAGGACAGAGACTTAAAGAAAAAATGAACCAGTAAGGAGAATAAGATCTTAGAAAGTCCATAGCAGCATAATAAAATGAAATAAAATTAAAAGACCTATAGTGGATCTATACAGACACAAAAAATATGAATGTAATGTAATCTTAATGTATTAAGTGGACATGTCAGATACAGTGTTCAAGCATACTGGCCGCTTAAACATCTCTTGAAAAGCCACATCTGTAGTAACTTGACTAGGAAAAAATCACCATATTTTAGTAAGTAAGCTCTAAATTATCTTTAAATCCTCTGGTAAATTATCAGCATTGAAAAAATGCACTTACAGCAGAAAGCAGTAGAAGCAAATCATGGGACCAGCCTAGGTTTCCCAAGAGAACAGAAATAAAGAGTGCCATATAAATGAAAATTCCAATTTTATTCATGATAAGTATATAATTTTTTTTATTCATTAGAAGGGTGCCAGCTTATCTTTACATTAAATGAAGGTCAGTATTGTCAAGAATGGTATGAAGCTTATATTTCCTTTATAATTTCAGAATAGGAAGAAATAGTATGGAGATATTATAAAAAAAATAAATTTCACTTAAAATCTTTTTTAACACAAAACTGAGTTTTCTGTGTTACTCAGTCTTTCATAGAAAATTCATCAGAAGCCTAAGTACCAGAAATGTAAACTGTGTGTTGGCATTACCCCCTGAAAACTTAAAGGGGAAATTGGTTTGGTCTTTCAACCAAGAGATGAAATATTTCATAGGGATTTTCCTCTAAACATTTCTACTACAGGTACTTTTGCGTTAGCTAATTAAAAACAAGGTGCACTGATAGCCTGGATGAGACTGTGCAATATGCAGCAGGAAGGCCAACAGCCCCTTGTAGGCCTATGTGTTGAAAAATTGAATACGCCTTTACCTTTAATACCAAGGCATTCAAGTGTGGAATCATATTTTGGTATCTTTCTCATACATATTAGTACCATGCTCTATGACAGGTGCCACGAAGTTTTGGATCTGTGCAAACGTGTAACCACCAAAGGCCTAGCAGCTA